TGAGGAGGTAAATGAGGCAAAGCTAGAAGAAGAGGAAGGTCTAGAACAAACTGCCCCAATAAGGTTTAATGCCAACCGAAAGCTCAGGAGACACTGGAAAAGGGAAGGGATTGTGGAAGAACTAGAGGATGAGGTATGGTGTGTGCTGCTGGATTCACTTATTCCCAACAAATTGCAGAGAAAGAACATGGGAAGAAGGAGAAGAAGAGCTTCGAACAGACAGTACCAGTGGAATAACAAGACTTCAAAAAAGGTATTTTCAGAGGAGGAGTCAGAGTGGCTTCCAAACCGACAACCCTGGGATCATGCAATAGAATTAACACCTAACGCCCCAGCTACCATTCGCACCAAGGTTTACCCAATGTCTCTAAACGAACAACAAGAACTGGAACGCTTCCTGGAAGAAAACCTCTGCAAAGGGTACATCCAACCCTCCAAGTCCCCTATTGCTTCCCCAGTTTTCTTTATTAAAAAGAAAGATGGGAAACTACGCTTTGTGCAGGACTATCGGAAACTGAATGAGTTCACCATTCAGAACAGATACCCCTTGCCACTCGTACAGGACATCATCGGAAAACTCCAGGAAGCCAGGATCTTCACTAAATTTGACGTTCGATGGGGGTATAACAACGTACGAATCCAGAAAGGGGACGAGTGGAAAGCCGCTTTTGCCACGAACCGAGGACTTTTTGAACCAAATGTCATGTTCTTTGGTCTAACCAATTCACCTGCCACATTTCAATCTCTGATGGATACCATCTTCGCTGATCTGATTGCCAAAGGAAAGGTGTCAGTTTATTTGGACGACATTCTTATCTTCACCAAAGGCTTGGAAGAACACCAGAGGATAGTTCGAGAAGTGTTGCAAAGGCTAAAGGAGTATGACCTGTACCTGCGACCAGAGAAATGTGAATTCGAGAAGGAAGAGATTGAATACCTGGGGATGATCATTGGGAATGGACAGGTGAAAATGGATCCAGCCAAGGTGGCAGCAGTAAAAGATTGGCCAACTCCCACCAATTTACGAGAAGTCCGAGGATTTCTGGGATTTGCCAACTTCTATCGTCGCTTCATTAAAAGTTTCTCACAGATAGCAAGGCCCCTGAATGACTTAACAAAAAAGGGAGTACCATTTGAATGGAAAAAGGCTCAACAGCGAGCCTTTGACCGGCTTCGACATCGTTTTCTAGCAGAACCTATCCTGACTCTTTGGAAACCAGATCGTCCCACTCAGATCGAGGTGGATGCCTCGGGATATGCAACGGGAGGAGTGCTATCACAGAAGTTGGAAGATGGGGAATGGCATCCTATTGCATACTGATCTTCTTCAATGGACGAGAATCAACGTAATTATGAAATCCATGACAGAGAGATGTTGGCAATTGTAGAGGCCCTCCGAGACTGGAGACACTACTTGGAAGGATTACCAGACCCCTTTGACATTGTAACAGATCACAACAACCTGCGCTACTGGAGAACTGCCCAAGACTTGAGCTGAAGACAAGCCCGATGGGCCCTACGGTTATCAAACTTTCATTTTAAACTGGTGCACAGACCTGGCAAACGACACATTATAGCTGATCTCTTATCACGAATGCCACACCATCAATGATCTGATCAAGAAGACAACCGGAAACAAACAGTCTTGAATCCCGAACACTTTGCCACCATAGCCACAACCACCCTCAGCAATCCATTGGAGCTGGAAATTTGAAGGGAGTCCCAGCGAGAAGCGGAAGTGATAGAAGGACTAAAAGAGCTGAAGAAAGGAGGTTTGAAGAGGTTGGCAAATGGGATCACTGAATGGGAAGAAGACGAGGGGCTGATTTACCGAAGGGGCAAGGTTTATGTGCTGCCAAATCAAGACCTTAGGAAGAAGGTCTTGATGCAGTGCCATGATGACAAGACAGCTGGGCATGGAGGGAAACATGCTACATATAATCTGGTCAGTTCTTATTATTGGTGGCCTACCATGCGATCTTTTGTAGAAAAATATGTGGAGGGATGCGACACCTGTGCACGAAAGAAACTCCAACGACACCCAAAAACAGCATTACAGCCATTGGAAGTACTGGAAGGCCCATGGGAGACAGTGGGAGTTGACCTGATCACACAATTACCAGAATCTAACGGTTATGATGCTATCCTGGTATGTGTTGATCATTATGGGAAACAAATTCACGCACTACCCTGTACGACTACCATTACAGCGGAGGAGATGGCAGACCTGTATTATAGGGAGATTTTCCGACTACACAGGTTACCCCTCCAATTTGTATCAGATCGAGGACCTCAATTTGCAGCAGTGCTCATGCGACTGCTTCTCAAGCGGCTGGGGATCAAATCCTCACTTACATCGGGATACCACCCACAGGCAAATGGACAAACAGAACGAGCTAACCAAGAGGTAGAAAAGTTCCTTTGCCTGTTTGTAGGAAGACGCCAAGATGACTGGGCTGAACACCTACCAATGGCTGAGTTTGTCATTAACTCCAGAACACACTCAGCGCATGGACTGGCCCCTTTTGAAGTTGAATATGGCTACCTCCCACACTTCAACATTCCAGTCGGAAGGAGGACAGGGAACCAGAGTGTGGAGGAAAGGTTAGAAGTTTTAAAGGAGGTTCGAAAGGATGCGAGAGCAGCACTACACCTGGCAAAAAGGCACATGGAGGAGGGATCAGGGGGTACAACTCCAAAGTAAAATGTGGGGGACCTAGTGTGGTTGAGCGGCGAGGACTTAGATCTAAAGTTGTCAAGTGAAAAATTGGGAGACAGACAGCTGGGCCCTTTTGAAATAGTTCAGAAAATTGGGCGGGTTAATTATAAATTGGATCTTCCTCTCTCCTTATCACACATTCACCCTGTTTTTCATGCCAGCAAACTCTATCCATGGAAAGGGAACAATGTTAATGGAGAACGACCGGATGGACCAGGACCAGTGGAACTGGAGGAGGATGATGAACCTGAGTATGAGGTGGAAGAGGTGTTAGACAGCAGGGTAAGGTGGAGACGCTTGGAATATCTGGTGAAGTGGAAAGGGTATGATGCAGCGCATAACTCTTGGGAACCCTTTGCCAACCTACAAAATGCAAAACGAATAATCACTAGGTTCCACAAGAATCATCCAGATGCCCCCAGTGTTCCTTAATCATCGAGGACGATGAATCTTAGGAGGGGGGTAATGTCACGAACTCGTATTATTTTCATTTCTTTTCTTGTTTACTACTGTTTTACTCTGAAGCTATTACCTTCATCACAGACAATCGATCCAAGGGATCACTTCATGTTAACTGTATGTCCTACTTCCATTCTGTCATACTACTATTCCAGTTCTTTATCTTTCCATAATCTTTCCATAACCTTTCCATAGCCTTTCCATAACCTTTCCTGAAACACGCTGTGACCTGTATCTATTGTTGATGTCTTCTTCTCTTCCATCATTGCCTTCTCCTTGCCTTACCACAGCCTCGTTGTTTCATTTACCCTATCACTGCCTCGTTACTGCCCTATGACTCCTTAGGTCTTCTCACTGCTTCACACTGCCCTACGCTGCCTCCTTCCTCTATTGATAGTCAACAGTATTTAAACCTTGTGTCCTGTAAACCTAGTCCTTAGCTTGACCTCCTGTCAATCTCGGACTAGGTGTGTATCCTTGTACTTGCTTTCCTGCCTCAATATAACCTGTCAATCTGGACTAGATTCTTGAAGCTCTCCTGATTACTGCCCTACTGTGTCTACTTATCTAGTGTCGCTCTTTGTGACAGAGAACATCTTTGCGAAATACCACATGCCTCTCCTAAGGGCATCTGAGCAGCTGGCAGAGCAGATCCAAGATAATTGGGAGAATCATAAGCTCTCCATTAAGGTTGTTGAGGCGGATAAGGTCAAAACAGCGCCTCATAGCCCAGAAGCCTATGTCTATACATTCACATTATTCCTCCTTGGACAGTTTTTTGCTCATAGCTTCGTGTTTTGCACCTATTATTGTGACTTCATGGACAGAGACAAATCAACCTTGAACAAGCTCAGTTCTATCCATGATTCACTCTCAGTCCATGTTGGAATCCGGGATGCAATTGCTAATATCATGATCCAAGCACAGGGATAATGACCGTCTGTGTATGGGATATCCTTCTTTCCTCAGTAAATGGATTCAAGAAGATCACAATGCTGCGAGTTTGGGGCTTCGGTCTTGGTTCGATCGAATTCTTCCCAGCCTAGAAGCTCTGAATACGGCGGACGATATCAGGGGTCGTCGGATTGTAGGATTCCAAAACTCTCTCGTCGACCTTATCGAGGCACTCTCTTCTAAACGAGAGGTTGCTCAGTCCAGTCCTCTCAGATTAGAACTCAATGCAGTCCAGTCTCGTAAGTTAACAGGATAGCATGGATAAATATTTTTAAACTAATTATTTCATTTCCTTACACAGCTAGGAATATGGATCAGGATTTCGGACCCGCTAACTCACCAACGGGCCCACTTGAGCGTAGGTTGATACGATGCATATATACTTTACACTGACTATTTTGTTCTATTCCACAGGTGAACCGCAGACATATAGCGTCCCAGATGATACTTCATCTGAATCTCATACAACAAGCACCTCAGCGGCCAGTTCAGCCATAAAACCACTGAGGAGCAATAAAAATGCGAGAAAGCGATCAAAATCGAGAAGCGATGGAGAAGAAGAGCACAGGATACAAACAGGGAGAGAGAAGAGACGGGCACTCTCGACTCTGAAAATGACACCCTCACAGAAGTCTGTGTCCATATTACCCAAGTAAATGCTCCCATTTCTCCTTGATTCACTTCTGGCTCTCAACAGTTCATACATACTATTAATTGTTGTCATTACACGATTCATACCTTAAAACCATTATAATGTCACGACGTTACTAACAGGTGAAAAAACGACTTGAATGTTAATAACGAGCATATACATAGGAGGCTAGAGTTTTGAGGGGGGAAATTGCTATGAGACAACAAAGGCAAAAATTGACGAGAGTGGGATTCGAACCCACGCCCTTTCGGACCAGATGATTTGGGCACCGAGTACCCTGATCCTTAGTCTGGCGCCTTAGACCGCTCGGCCATCTCGCCATGGAGACCCTTAACAACGCCTACTCCTCGGGACGTAAAGTGGAACTGGTTACAACAGTCCAAACAACGGTCAGCGCATGCGCAGCATCTATCACAAGAAGGTGCCAGCCTGGTAACATGCAATGTGCAAAGTCTAGAGCAAAGGTGAGCGCCGCGTAAGACAAGAATGCCACGAGAGTTCCAAACAGCCAAGCTTAAATCCTGTTTTCAACGAGAATACCACAGTCTGTCGAGCTCAAGACTCATACGCAGGTGGCCTCTGCGAGCCCGAAAGAGCCTGTACCTGGTAATTCAACCTCTCAATCATCTGCATCATCCTTCTCCTTGTTGGGTATCCTCCTCTAGGTGCGGCCTCGCCATGGCCATCATCGTTACCATGATCCTCCTCGGAAGATGCCATAGTGCGGTACTGGGGATGTTCATCGTTTGTGGGAGATAGAGGTGGTGGTGGGTCGATGTCGGCGTAGGATGAGGGAGGGACTGACTGAGGCTGCGAACGTGGAGATGCTGGTGAGCGATTCGAAGGGAATACGCGTTGCTGGGATGGAGAGTTCGTTGTATCTGGGTTTAGCCTTGTCTGCTCGGCTACAACAGGGGCATATGTTTTCGTATATGGCGATAGAGACGTTGAAGATGCTCCAGGCACACTAGGCGAAGCAGCACCGGCAGGTGGTCCCATGCCATCGTAAGTTTTTGTGAATGGCGAAACGGAAGAGGAAACCCGGCCTGAAGGAGATGTTTCAAGGGCCGAGCCGTAGGTTTTTGTGAAGGGAGTGATACCATTTCGGTCGGATAAACGAGTAGTTCCGGCCTCAAAGGTGAATGGTTCTGCGTCGAGACCATCAATATAGCGCTTATTGAAAGGTGAGATGGAATTCGGAGAACGAGTCATGGACGGAGTGACGTTGCCTTCGTCTAATCAAGCATGTTAGTCAATGCTCTTATGATGAATGGTATACACACCTTCTCTTTCTCTCCCATTGGCAGCTGCATCCGGCTTTTTTGACTTCCTTCTCTTCCAAAGAAAGAACCCAGCCCCAAATAACAAAGTAACAGCGACTATAGACCCTACCATAGCACTTGCAATGGCTCCTCCTGAAATGCCATCACTACTGCCACCACCACCCGCTGCACTCGTCGAACCAACGGGCGCAGACGTCGACGTCGTCGTAGCGGTGGTTGAAGATTGATTAGACAAATCAGGCAAAGGTGGCATCGTGTTGAGTGTTCTGAAATTGGGAAGAAATTCGAAAGCAGAAAAAGAGAACGTTTGGGCCCCGGAAACATCTGCTACAACGATGTTAATCGTGTGGTTCTGTTCCGTTGAATGATTAGCACCTGGAAAGCCGAGACCAGGAAGGAGATCCGTTTGAAAGTAGCTGAAAAAAGGGATCGCATTAGGTGGATCAGAGGGCGTGGTGACCGATGAAGGATTCCGGCCGTCCAAAGATACGTTGAGAGTGATGCTTCCCGGGCCTGCATCGAGAGAGCCGTACACTACTATGTCGTCACCTTGGTAGAGTCCAGCATTAGAGTACGGAAAAGTACAGGGATAATTGGTAGCGTACCATAAAATGGGAATTGGACCGAATCCCCAACGGTAATACTATCTCGCGTGGTACCATCTGTACTCGGTTTCCATTGCCCATTGAAAGTAACCGCTGGGTTATTATGGTCTACATGTAGCCTCTCCGGAGGCCTGGTCATGTCGGGGAACCCGCCTACGGCACCATTCAACAACGTATCCTGGCCAGGTTGCACCAACGCATAATCAACCATGGCGTCAAAGTCGCTTTGGTTAAATCCAAGAAAAATGGATACCTGATGGCTTCCTTCAGACAGATCTGTTGGACTCTGATAAAGAATTGTGCGACTCGAAGGATTGAGAAAAGAGACTTGGCCATCGAGAGTTGCTTGGTATGGGCAGTTCGTCAAGTCTGGCAGACAGTTGTAGTTACCGAAAATGGTTGCGGAGGTACCTATCGAATAGTACAGAATGACCCAGAGAACCACAGATTGTAAATGGAACACACCTGTAAACGTGAGATTGACCATTGAAGTAGTAGATTGGTTTCCATGAACGAGATGGCTTGTGTTGTCAAATGACAGACCAGTATCGGACAGTGAGGACCAGTCATCTGAGAACTCCAGAAGTTCTATAGCATTCGCGATGATGAGCACGGCGTCGTCGACGGCAATGCTGGGCAAAAAACCATTCATCGTCGTCAAAGTATGAAGTTCCGAAGAACAATGAGTCCAGCCAAATAATCCCGTCGTCACGGTTGCATGGTCATGGGTCAGATCTCCACTCCACATGTGCCTTGTACAGCTCAGGTCTTGCCGGGAGAAGAGCATCAACACAACGGCATGTTAATGAATGGGATGTCGAAATATCGAGAGCTGTATCATATGTATGGCACCGAATACGGATTCGAGCATGTGCATAAGGATGAGATATAAACAGAATATGCCTGACGGGAGTGCTGCTTCTGGGAGTCGACCACGAAAAAACTTGGAGAGGCTTGGATTTGAACAGCGTAAAGACCTTGACCTTGAAATCATAGCTGTAATAGAATACGACAACAGAAAGTGAATATATGGCTACCAGTGACAAAGAAGTTACGCACTTGCCAAGCACTTGCGGCCATATTAAGACTTCCTGGAATCACAGCTTGCAAAGTGACGTTCATATCGAGAGAAGACAATGACACGTTTGGCCACGTGGCCCAGCTCATAACACATACACGACAGCTATTCCAATGCGCCATGGTAGATATCAATTCCAACCCCTACTTTCCCAATCTGCCAACATGTCCCGTGCCGTTTCATTCTGGGTTCTAAACTTGATGCCCAAAATCTTCTTTTCCTTCGACATATCCCAAACAATCTTATATATTTTCTCTCCGGCTTCACCCTTTGTGAACGGTTTTTTGTGCGATGGCCATGGAGAGGGCTGCAACGAGTTGACAACATCAACTAGGGCAAAAAGGTCAGCGACTCGCGGCAGTAACGTTCGAATTTGAAGGAAAGACGCACTGAAATCCTGGAAAACGAATGGCCCAGAACACAATATTATCCTCTCTCCCCCTGCTTCTTCGACTTCAAGCGATCGAACGTGTCCCAAGGCGACGTCTCGCACATCAATCCAGCCAGTTGATGGGAAAAGTCGAGGAGATAAACCTCTACAATCACCGGTCGTGATGACGTTGTGCCAAAGTAGATTGGGACCGTTAAGTTTGTCGATGGATGCGACCTCATGAAGAGTGGGCTGAGATATTGGTTTCAACTTGATTGTGAACACTGGTATTACTTGTAACTTACACCAAAGATCCAAGTTGGGTGAAGGAAGGTAACATCCCAGCCAATCTCAGACTTGTGTTTCTCATAAAAGTCCCAGCCCGCTGATCGAGTTGGTAGGCGCAGATACGGTGAGTATCGGCAAAGCATAATCCTCGAATATGAGACTAACCTTTCTCCGAAAGAATCTTTGAGGCAGAGTACTTTGCAATTCCCGATGCATCTCTTCCTTTCTCTTCGCATTCTTTCACCGAAGATTCGTTCCAATTTTTCTCGCTTATCGTGATGGGCTCTGGTGATCCCCCAGCCGTCATACTTGCACCAGAAGATGTGATGATAATTCTTTTAAGACGATCTCTTCAAGAATGAAAGATGGTGTGTTCAGTCTGATAGTGCCAGAACTAGGAATCTAAATTTACTTACCCATATTTTAGCGCACTCCTCATGATATTCAGATTACCCTCAATGGCAGGCTCAATGATATCTACATCGCTAGAATCAGTACGGACAGAAAGCAAGACATCATGGTATGTGTGCATTACCATTTGGTTCAACGGCATTTAGATGAACTTGAGCAGCGGAATGGATGATTCCATCGACACCTTTGACCGCCTCGTCGAAAGTTCCAGACTGTGTAAAGCAACCGTGAATCATTACTCGCTCATCTTTTCATAGTCGAAGTCCTGCATACCTTGGACATATCTCCGGTAATAACTATCTCAATCTTATCTCCAAAAGATTTGAACACCTCCTGGAGGTATTTGCCCTTATCTGCACTCCTTACTGATGCACGGACGGTATACCCTTGTTTGAGGAGACCGTCAACAATCCATGCTGCGGCGAAGCCATTTGCACCTGTCACGAGGATAGTGGATTGAGTGGGGTTTTGAATGGCGGGCATAGATGTGTTGGAGGATACGAGTTATCAGAGCGTATAGCAATGTTGACCTCAATACTCAGGGCCTTTATATCCCTTTAGATCGACTTGGCGAACGGAAACTGACATACACCGAGGAAGTAATAAACAATTCACAAGCACCGTTCCAGGGCAAGCTCAGTGTTCAATACACATACGAAGGCTTTCGGTAGCGCGAATTTAAAACGCGTCCAGCGTGAGAATCCGCAGGTATCGACTATATTTGTGCTCAACTCCTGCGGGTGGATACACCGATTGCGTGAAGCGAAAAGTCAAAGTCTTTCAATTTTGTCCAACCACCGTCGGCACAGATTATATGTCAATTTAAAGCCCTTCAATCACTATTCCGTAGACAGAAGACGTCGGCCACGTCCCGGACCTGGTCACACCAGCATCATACAAAACTACTCCAATGTTCGTAGGGTAGGTAGATACACAGCTCCTCCGGGATGTTGAACCCAGAGTGGTTACAGAAACGACACAGCCAGTAGGCTAAGCATGCCATTGCAGATTTATCAATTCCAACCCCTACTTTCCCAATCTGCCAACATGTCCCGTGCCGTTTCCTCCTGGGTTCTAAACTTGATGCCCAAAATCCTCTTTTCCTTCGACAAATCCCAAGTAATCTTATACAATTTTTCTCCAGTTTCGCCTTTTGCAAGCGGTTCTTTGTGCGAGGGCCACGGAGAAGGTTGCAGCGAGTTAACAGCATCAACTAGGGTAAAAAGGTCAGTGACTTGCTAGACACCGAATCCGAAAGACGCACTCGTATCCTGGAAAACAAAGG